ACTACATACACACATCTACACTACAAACACCTCTACACTACATACACACATCTACACTACAAACACCTCTACACTACATACACACATCTACACTACAAACACCTCTACACTACATACACACACCTACGCTACAAACACCTCTATACTACATACACACATCTACGCTACAAACACCTCTATACTACATACACACATCTACACTACAAACACCTCTATACTAAAAAAAACCCACCATATTACCAACACTTTCTACTGACACCTCTACCTGTATAACAATTACCACCACTTTACAGACACCTCTATATTACAGACACCTCTGATTTTGATCGACACCTTACGCAATTTTCTGTATCAATGGTTACAGATACCTCAATATTTAGTCAAGTTTTGACAGTAAATTCAGTGTGAAAAATATACATTRAGGAGAGAATTTWTTGAGGCAAAGAAGCAATGAAATCGACACTCTTTGAAACAAAAAAAATGCCTTGAAATTTGAGTTACTAGAACAACTACAAAATATTCAAAACAGAGCCATATAGTGAACAGATATTAAATGTAGTGTAGATTTTCCATATATGACAAATGACACAAATTCATATATTAAAAACGCATTTTCATATATTATGTTTTTAGAAGGAATCTTAGAATATCTAAATTAATCGAGCCCAAAGAGATAACAAAGAGAAGTTATATACATAYACACAAAATAGTTTAATCATCATGGAGATAAGACAAGGAAAATACCTGAGCTATTGGATGARATTTGAATGTAACATAATAGGTAGCTGTTTTCAGAAAGTGATATAGTACTTTTAACAAGATTACAGATCAATTTAAGGATTAAGGTTTTTTAGATTATATAGCAAGTTATTTAGGAAGTCAGAACATTTAATATGTTGAGATTAATTTTACTCAAATAACAAATTACCATTTTTACTAACAGATAATAATGAGACTTGCCRTAATAAATTTTTTAGTCAAAATAATAATGAAATAAATAAATGTTTGTATAGTAGTTAAAACAATAATTAGAGGATTTGGCCTTTCTGCCCAACATTCATTAGAACAATTTTCTCAACCTGGCACAAAAGGGCCAGCTCCTATAAGAAAGCACGTGCTTCAGCGTACAATTAAGCTGTGTAAAATCCAATGGAAATCAGTAAAGAAAAACTGCTTATTTCTACAATGCATGATACGGCCAATATCCCAGGAATATAATTCTTTGTAGAATAAGCAGTTCTAAAAAATATATTTGCATTTATATTATATAATTATCTATGAAATGCTATATTTTTCTCTAATTTGAAAAATTGTTGTTATTTTCACTTACAGTAAGCGAAAATAACATATTCAAGGTTTCTCTATACTGTATATTGGAAGTAAACAAGGTATTTTACAGCATATTTTCTTTCATATAGAATTATATGATAAACAGAATACTACATGATTGCTTCGAGATATTAGTTTTATCTTCTTGRGTTGAAAATCCCTCACTCATTTGCTATGCTCACCTCGAGAGATCTTTTCAACACTTAAAGATAAAATCCTTATCTAGGTATGCCTATGTAATATTCGCTATCTGGCTTCTAATTGGATTTTACCAGATGTTTACACAGCTTCTAGGTGATGCATATACTTTGTAATAATCTCAGTGGTCAGATTATCTTAACTAAAAAAAACATTTATTGAGAAAGGTCTATTGGATAAAAAAAAGATGAAAGAATAAATAGAAGATAAATGGATGGAAATATCTTGAATAGGAGATTTATAGTGATTYAGATCAGGAATACACTCAGTATTTTAAAGTCACCACATTTTTCAAAGAAATGTGAGGTTATCTTAGCCTGCCTTCTGCAAAACCAAAACTGTCATTGTGTGAAAGGTTTTGGTTTAAGTGCATGCTGGCTAGGTTATCTTGGTTTAACTGCATGCTGGATAGGTTATCTTGGTAAAAAAAAAAATTAAGTTTGCAGAGTGGTAGTTTTACTGGATGCTCTAAAACTTTTTTAAATTTTTAATAAGTTGCACCCTTTTTGGTGGTTTTGGTAGATTTCTATGATAAGTAACTTCAAATAAACTGTAGAATGGAATATTGGACACTGTGACCACTATCTTACTCCTATTTGACTTGAAATGTGACATTTAGATTTTGACAAAACTTCCCATCACATTCTTTTAATTGTTTACTATAATTAATTTCCATGTACGTTTTAATTTGAACACCATGAAACAACCTAAAAACTGTTTAAATATTGATTCTTTTGGTAAAAAGATAGCAAGACCATGAGTTTTTAGTGCATATTCTATATATAGCATAGTAGAAGCATAGATGTAGGCACAAATATATGCATGGTTAAATATGGTTAATAGTCCACAGTGTTTACAAGTAGACATGATATACAGTATGCACAGGTATCCCATCAAATCACCAAATTACAATTCAAGTGGGAAGCACAAATGTTTCATTATCCAGAGTTATTAACAGTTGGACAAGACACAAGAATCACACTAAACAGAAATGTTATAGGATGTTCTTGTGATACACACCACAGGAAGCCCATTATAATACAACATTGAGTCTGTATATGGGTTCAGCACGAGTGACCAATTGTTATCCAGCACTGAAATCCAATATGATTCACCACTGTCATCCAATGTTTTAACACAGCAACCCCAATCGCTTCAACACAGGAATTCCAGTTGCTCCAACACAGGAATCCCAACCAATTAAAAAACAATCCCATCTGATTAAACACAGGAATTCTATTTGATCTAACACTGGAATCTTATCTGGTTTAACACAGGCAGCCCAACAGAATAGATGCTGTCAGCTGCTATCGTCAACAGCCATTGTAACAGTTAATACCTGTGACATAATATACAACTTAGTATCTTCCTACTATCCAACAAGCCATGAGGTAAAGGGGCATGTTTGTTGCCAAACATTTAAACACTTTGTGATTTCACGACTTCTTGTACGTTGTAAATAGGCATACTAAATAGTTTTTTTAAAATTGAGCTTACATATTAGCTGGCTGTTAGCATCAATAATGTGCTATTGTATACTCTGGTGATTTAAACATTATTGTACTTCATGATCAAAAGAGTTTGGCCAGAGTTATTTTCCTTTTTAATAAACACACTATTACCATGCCATTTCAGAGTATTCCTTGTAAATAGTTGTTGGGATCCCTGTGTATGTTACTTAGGCATGCTTGGATTGATTTAAGAGGGTGTCTGTAATACAGTCTCACACAAATGCAGAATCCACATAAAGATTCCTGTAGGATTATACATTGACTTACTTTATTTTTCTTGTTAAACTGTGCCCCACAGGTTTCATTATTAACGGCATGAGGCAGGATTGTATCCAGATGATATTTGACTGGATTCACATTAAGTACCAGTCTATCACCGCCAACATCCAACTCTATACATCCTGATGACTTCTAGAAGAGTAAAGAACTGAAGTTATTCAGTCCGAAGTAGTTCATTGTTTATTGCCTACAGGGTATCACCATTTAATTCATATTGAATTGATATAACAATTGATATAATTGATATTGAAAATAATGTACACAATGAATGTTAATCTTGTAACTGATCGAGGAGGTTTTACAGACAAGAAGCTAGTTT